TGAAACTTTTAGAAAAGTGGTCTTGTTTGACGAGGGGAATGAGCAGGAGCCTTGTGGTGGTGGAAGATGACTCTCCAGTAAAGCTCTACGGGGCATTTTTCTGCTAAAGCTGGAGCTAATTTTCTGAAAATACAATATGCAGAGGTTACTGTTCTTTGGGCCTCTGGGAAGTCAACAAGCGAGATGCCTTGAGCTTCCACAGAGCTTCTTGCCATGACGTTTACACTTGATGGATTATCTTTTGCTTTGGGGACCACTTCCCTCTTTGTGACCATTGCCTTGAATATGTTTTGTCTTCAGGACCACGCGGCGAAGCCACGTACCCTCTCTTGTTACAGTTCTTTGAATAAATGCCTCCGGATCTTGAGCCCATTTGTTTAAAATTTTCATCGAAACCCCTGCTTTCATCTGCAACTGATCCAGGAGCAGTAATTTTGGCAGCCACGGAGCAGAAAGTTTGCTCAACTTTAATTTTTCCATCAAAATTATTGTGTAATGTGAGCCAGTTGAAATGTGCGTGGTGGTGGCTATTTTTTCTTGAGTTAATCAGTCCTCTTCAGTTAGGGCATGAACGAGGTTAATTTTTTTTTTGGCAGATTGATGTGGAGGTCTGCCTTTGCAGGTATCATTTCCAACATTGTCTCATCTCTTCTTTAAACAAGTTACTCATTTGTAAACTGCTGATTTCTTTGGGTCATCGTTCCCATGAACTTTTTGTAAAGTATCAGTGATTTCATCATTCTTCACTCAAACGTCACCATAAATTTGATGCTTTATTCTTGCTTCAATTTTAGCAGAATTCATATTGCTGATGGGGGCTCTATTTGAATAATGTCTTACCCTTTTTGGTCTCAAACTAGACCTTGTTCAGACATGTTATAACAAGATAATTTTAGTGCAAAAAAAAAAGTTGAAATCCCTCCAGTTTTTCCATAATACACATTTTTTTCACTAACTTTTGAAAGTCTCTTCATATAAGCACTTGTTTTTATTTATATCTGTTTAACATAACTATACATAAACATATACACACTGAGATCTTACAGTTTTCATTAAAATTTGCTTTTTTTTTTTTTTTTTTTGGTGATTGAAGGCAATCTAAGTTGCATACAAATAAAGTGGAAACTTTTTCTCTTTCTCATTATAGGGGGCTTTCTAGAAGATGACCATAGAGGACCTTCCAGATTTTCCATTAGAAGGAAATCCTTTGATTGGAAGATACCCATTTTTATTTTCGGGCTCTGACACACCAGTAATCTTTTCCATTTCTGCAGCACCAATGCCTTCAGATTGTGGTATGTTAAGTAGCTGTGCTTATTTTCTGTGAACAGTAACTTGACTTCTGTCTTATGACCTTTTTTGTACTCATAGTTTTTCCTAAAATCATTTGCTATGGTTTTTATAAAATTGCTAAATTTTTCCTTTTTCAAAAATACAATTGCTTATTGCTTTTCTGCCTCTTAAGCTAAATGCTTTTATTTCTTCTGTCAGCATTTTTATTATGTGAAAACATTCATTTTAAGCACATGATGGATTTAGAGGATTTTATTTTTAGAATGCACTGGTGCTTAGATATCTACCTTCCTTCTGCTCTAAGTTTTCTCTTAGAGTTCCGGAAATTCTCACCCAGTTCAACAGAATAACTTTAAGGTTATTAGAAACCTGTACTTGTCAAGAGTCTTTTACATAAATCTTGCAGTTTTGAATCATAGCTGCTTGCAAAAGTTTTCAGGAAAGTGCCAGTGTAAAATAATGTGTGTGTATGACAAAAATTTAAAATGGCCATCATTAAAGATTTGATGAGAGCTCATTATAATGTAATTGACAAAGAAATTCAGTTATTTCTGTGATAACTTTTCCAGATACTGAATTTTGACTGATAAAATTATACCAGAATGTAGTAAAATATCTAGGGATTTCATTCAGTTTCTGGAACATATATATTAATAACATACTGCCATTCAGATATAACATAAGCAAGGTTAAGTATCACTTTTATTGGACAATGCTTCCCATGCAATTTAACATAGTAGATCAGCCTAATTAGTTTCAATTTTATTTGACAATGCTTTCCATGCAAATAAGCCTAATTAATTTAACATCTTTCTGGTTTATTAGAAAAGAGAACTTTTTTTTTTTTTTTTGAGACTTTTGGGGCCCTCTGAAAAATCCCAAAGTTAGTCTGAGGTCAAAATTTGATTTTTGAGAGGTTTGTCAAACATATTAGAAGATTCAAACCAATAATATTTTTATTTATCAAAGTTGCTCAAGTCATTTTAACTTCAAAAACATTTGGATTAGTTCATAATTTTCTGTAAGTTTTAGGTATATTTCATTTATATGAGGGGACTTCAAAAAGCTTGTGGAAAAATGGAATTTATAAAGTAAAAGTATAAGTTTTGTTTCTTTCTCCATGTAAATTCTGTCAAGTTCAAGATCCTTTTGTAAGCAGTGATACCAGCCACTTAGTCTTTCCTAAAAGTCTGAAGGTCCTGGGACTTTACCATGTCAATGCAGTCTTTCCTATGTTACTAACTGAAGAAAAATGAGTTCCCTTTAAAGATTTTTTTTTTTTTTTAAGATACAGAAACAAAAAAGTCAGAGGGAGCCAAATCAGGACTGTAAGGTGGTATGATTCCTATCTTCCATCAAAATTCTTGAAACTTTTAGAAAAGTGGTCTTGTTTGACGAGGGGAATGAGCAGGAGCCTTGTGGTGGTGGAAGATGACTCTCCAGTAAAGCTCTACGGGGCATTTTTCTGCTAAAGCTGGAGCTAATTTTCTGAAAATACAATATGCAGATGTTACTGTTCTTTGGGCCTCTGGGAAGTCAACAAGCGAGATGCCTTGAGCTTCCACAGAGCTTCTTGCCATGACGTTTACACTTGATGGATTATCTTTTGCTTTGGGGACCACTTCCCTCTTTGTGACCATTGCCTTGAATATGTTTTGTCTTCAGGACCACGCGGCGAAGCCACGTACCCTCTCTTGTTACAGTTCTTTGAATAAATGCCTCCGGATCTTGAGCCCATTTGTTTAAAATTTTCATCGAAACCCCTGCTTTCATCTGCAACTGATCCAGGAGCAGTAATTTTGGCAGCCACGGAGCAGAAAGTTTGCTCAACTTTAATTTTTCCATCAAAATTATTGTGTAATGTGAGCCAGTTGAAATGTGCGTGGTGGTGGCTATTTTTTCTTGAGTTAATCAGTCCTCTTCAGTTAGGGCATGAACGAGGTTAATTTTTTTTTTGGCAGATTGATGTGGAGGTCTGCCTTTGCAGGTATCATTTCCAACATTGTCTCATCTCTTCTTTAAACAAGTTACTCATTTGTAAACTGCTGATTTCTTTGGGTCATCGTTCCCATGAACTTTTTGTAAAGTATCAGTGATTTCATCATTCTTCACTCAAACGTCACCATAAATTTGATGCTTTATTCTTGCTTCAATTTTAGCAGAATTCATATTGCTGATGGGGGCTCTATTTGAATAATGTCTTACCCTTTTTGGTCTCAAACTAGACCTTGTTCAGACATGTTATAACAAGATAATTTTAGTGCAAAAAAAAAAGTTGAAATCCCTCCAGTTTTTCCATAATACACATTTTTTTCACTAACTTTTGAAAGTCTCTTCATATAAGCACTTGTTTTTATTTATATCTGTTTAACATAACTATACATAAACATATACACACTGAGATCTTACAGTTTTCATTAAAATTTTAGCCATGTATCAGATACAATAATACAAAGGTCACTAGTTTATAAAAGAAGTTGGATCCAAACAATGTATTTCATTATCTCTTTAAGTGGTTCAGGATCCGCCCTTTTCAAGGGCACCCTGTTTTATCTAAATTAGAAATTTTCCAAAGTGGTTATTGCAATTCTAAATTATCCTTTGTGTTTCGAACCAGAGGAAATTCATATAGCTTTAATTCTTGTTGGTTAGGCCAAGAGGATTAGCTAGGCTGTTGCTAATTTGCTATAGTGTGCTGAGTCATGGTGACAGAGAAATAAAGCTCAAGGTTCATTTACAATTTAAACAGGTATTTTGGGAAATGCATGTTTATGTTTTGCTGGGGTGGGAATGGGGCATTGGCGCAGAGGCAAAGGTTTGTCCTCACATCCATTTTGATTTTTATTTAACAAGATCATTCTGTTGTCTAAGATTTTGTATAGCATCTCATTAGTAGTCTTTTTATTCTCTTATAATGGACTGCTGTTTCCCTTTATACATGTCTTTGGTTTGGTGCCATTCTTTTCATCTTTTAGCTATCCTGACTCTAAAAGTAAAAATTATGTTTATATAATATAATTTTGAAAAATACGTAAAAATACAAAGAAGAAAATTAAGAAAAAAAAAAAAAAGAATCCCACTACTTTGGTGTGTTGTCACAATCTGAGCTCAGCAGTGAGTTATCTGAACAGCATAACAGAGGAAGAAAGACTTTGGTGACAAGACCTGGTTTTCTGCCACAGATTTGCTACTTACTAGTTGGGTCACATCGAGCTAGTATGATTGTTCAGGACAGTAGAATCTGATTTTCGTCTCTTGAAGTATTATTTTTTTCATGTACTGATCTATTCTCTAATTATAGAATGATAGCTAGCTTTTCTCTAAATCTTAGGAAAGAACTTTTAAGAAATAATTTAGATTGTATGTTCAGTTTTGTCTAGTAGTCCATGTTTTTATTAATGCAGATTTCAAAATAACCCAATTATTTTGTACCAAGGTTCTTTTTTTATTTCTGCATTGAATGCTATTACTTCATTTTTTTTGGGCTGGAATAGTATTTCTCCTCCTGATTCTTCAGTGGGTAAAAACAATATATATTTACGAGTTTTTTAAAAATTTTTTTTTAGTACACTTAAGATTTTGTCATATTTCTTTTTATGCATACTTTAATCACAGATGTGAATCTACTGTTCATGACATTTATCTGTTTTTCAAAGAATTACTTATTTTATTATTTTATTTTATCCTTCTTCTTTTTCATCAGAGAGAGACATGTGCACACACACACACACACACACACACACACACACAGAGAGAGAGAGAGAGAGAGAGAGAGAGAGAGAGCCGCCAGGTCTAGGACTTGAACCACAGTTGGTCATGTGGGAGTCCAGCACTCCAATCACCACCCCACCTGCCAGCCCCAACCTTATCTTTTGAGAGGCAAGAATATCAATAAAATTTGAGAAGTTATTCTGTGCCTTAGAATTAGTACTTGCAAGATTCAAAGAAATTTGAGATATGTGCACTCACATTTGGTTTAACCTTAGAATGTAGTATGATGCATGAAAATCTTCTTGTCACAACAATTCAGACATACTTCATATTTTTTGATAATTCTAGGAGAATTAGTTTTGAAACTTGCTCAAGGTAAACCTACTTTATATAGCATCTAAAAATATTTGTGTCGTTTAAACTTTGATCTTACTATTTATTATTTTCACTGTATTTACTTGACAGTTTTAATAAATTTAATCTACCCCCTCCCTTTTTTAATTTCAAACAGAGTTTTCTTTCTTTGATCCTAATGATGCTTCATGTCAGGAAATCCTCTTTGATCCCAAAACTTCGGTTTCAGAATTATTTGCCATTTTAAGACAGTGGGTTCCTCAGGTCCAGCAAAACATTGACATTATTGGAAATGAGGTATGGAGTTTCTACATTTTAAGTTTTGCACCGTTAGGGTTCTTAATGGTATAGCTCCCCCCCACCCCCATCTTTCCAGTGGGAAGATAGTGTTAAAGGAGAAACTCCTTAACGTTTCTGATGTTTATTATTTGTGTATTTCCAGGTTTTTCATAGGGTAGTGAGTTAATGCTGTAGATTCTTCCTGTTATTCTGTCCTGTTCTGCACTTTCTTACACCTGGAGGTCTGGCATTATTGACTTTTGCGGGGAGCAGGGAGAGGCATTTTTCTTATTTTTCTTTTTTAGCTTTATGCATTTTAGGAGGGGATTTGATTACCATAGTATTCTGTGTATACTTTTGGGTGGTTTGGTGAAGATCTAGTCTTAAGTGTAATTTAAAAAAATACCCATTTTTTTTGAGGGTGAGTTTCTTGACCAGCATGTCGTCATGTTGTAGGAAGAGAGCATTTATAGTTTTTCAAATATCATTATACCCATTTGAAGGAAAAATTTCCTAATTTTTTAGAGAAATATATTTGGAGTGTCAGATTACCTTTGCCTAATCTTTAAGTAGTTCCTCTAATGTGGTGACAAGTTCAGTTTTCACTATTGTTACTGTCCATTTAAAATGGACCCTTGAGCTGGAAGAGTTTTAAGTGTACATTTACTGAGAAGTCATTTGGCATTGGTTTGAAGGTCACTGGTGCTTCAGTGGTCACGTTGTAATCATATTTTCTTGGCTTCCTCAGATTCTTAAGAGAGGCTGCAATGTGAATGATAGAGATGGGTTGACAGATATGACTCTTCTACATTATACCTGCAAATCTGGCGCTCACGGCATTGGTAAGTACGTGGTGAGTCTGTTCATTGCTGAGATCCTCTGCATTTGTGATTACACAACCTATGATATGGCAGTCAGAGTCCCTGGGGAGGAAACTTAGTAATGGTGGTGATAGTGCCTGCTCAGGGGAGGATTCAGTTAGGTCTTTCCGAAAACCGTGTTCTCTTCTTTGTATCCTCCCAACCTTCCTGGAAGACTTCATGCCTGGTCTCTCACTAAGTGAGAGTAACTAGTTACAGTTGAGACTAAGAGGGCTTACAGCAAAGTTTTGACAATGCACAGTCAGTCTTCCAAGCATATTAATCCTCACAGACCTCAGTTTTTAGGCTCATACAAGGTCTGTTTCTATATATGCAGGATCTTCAAGTAGTTCATGGAAAATGCATATTAGAAAAAACTGCCTGAATTCCAATTTTTCTTGTATCGAAATAAACTCTTTAATTTTGTTCTCCACAAACTTTTTGAAGTCCTGTGTACATTCATGCATGGGCGTATTTTTTGAAATTGATAATCTCCTGTGCTTTTCCATTTTATAAACCTGTCTCTCTGACTCGACTGTATTTTGTGATTGTCTGTCTCTTTTTCAATAAAGTATGAAATAGGGCTTCTTCAGTTACTGCCAAAGGACTTTTTTTCTCCCCACAATCCATTATAGAGTGCTACTTTTGTAAAATGCAATAAGAAATGAATTTATAATACAAATCTGAAATAAAGATGTCAGATATTTCAGATATTTCTTGAAAGGCATAAAATTACATTAGGATTAATACAATCAGAAAAAAAAACATTAAATAGGGAAAAATAAGAGAGTTACAAAAAGTGCAACTGATGACAATTTGAGACCGGCAGTGGCCCGTAGGACACACTTTGAGTAGCCCTGCACTAGAGCATGGTTTGTCATGGCTTCATGGTGTTCCATTCCATAGATATTCACTTAAACAGTTTCTTATTATTATACTTTTAGGTTATTCCAGAATTGTATTAATAATAAACACTACGGTGATGGAGATCTTTACAGTTAAGTGTTTACCCACATTCTCGAGTGTGCTTATTTTCCGAGAATAAATCCTAAAAGTGAAACTGTTGAGGTGTAAGTGTATATTCAGGACGCTATTTGCTTTGGGTTTTAAAAGGCATTAGTAGCTAGCCACCCATTGGAACCTAAAATTTGTACTGAAGAAAAATAATTTAGGGAACTCTCCTTTAGGTGATGTTGAGACAGCTGTAAAATTCGCAACTCAGCTTATTGATCTGGGAGCAGATGTCAGTCTGCGGAGTCGCTGGACAAATATGAACGCTTTGCATTATGCTGCTTATTTTGATGTCCCAGAACTTATAAGAGTGATTTTGAAGACATCAAAACCCAAAGGCAAGTACTATCAGATCACCATGATGTGTTATGAATGAACACTTAATTAGTGGCATAAAATTTTAATTCAGGGAGATTTTTACCTCTAATCTATCTTGTTTCACATGCCTCCCTACCCCATTTTATTTCTGAGATAAAATTTTCTTTATTGAAGATTAATCACTATTCTTTTACAAAAGCCTTAGTACAAAGAGATACAAAATAAAAATGTATTCTCTGGGTTTTCCTATCTCTGCAGTTCACCATTGTAACGTGGATTTTATGTATAATTGATTCTATATGCTTTATAATTCCTTTATCTCATTTGGGTAGCCAGGAAGCAATAAAGCCAGGAGCAATAAAGCCTTCAGAGCTAGGTATTGAAACAATAAAGAATACTCATTTTAGATGGCATTCAGTTCAGAAATTCTGCGATTCAACTAAAAGAATGAAATTTCAGTTTTTTCCCCCTGTTATGATGGTGAAGATCACCAATGAAATTGAAGATCAGAATATCTAATTGATTGTCCTGGTATTTAGATTTTTCTCTCTGGTCTTTCTTTTTGGAATTAGTTTTCCTTTGAGAAAAATCTGGGAGCAAGTGAATACTTGAAATTGAAGAGAGTCTGCAATGCTTCCTCATTGTAGAGGACATGTTAGAGATTCAATAGAGAAATTTCCCCAAGGTTTTTGTTTCTAACCTCTGATTTGCATAATTGTTCATTTTCTCTGTAAAATTCTATGTTTTTTTTTTTTTTTAACTTTCTGCATGATGTTGAGAGGAAAGCCTCTGTTGACAGTACTAAGTCTTTAATACTCAACAGAATTTGTCCTGAGCTTGTCTGGGTTGCTGTAGTTGTGAGTATGTTGTATGGGGTGGTGTCATTTAGTTTAAAGTAGGATTTGTAAAACTGGAGGAATATTAAACCCTTCTTATGGAAATCTCTCAAATGAGATTCCCAAATCTGGAGGATTTCCTGTGTTTAAGTATAACATGATGAGTTATTAAAAGTTATTAAGATGTCCTTAGAATTGCAAGATTCCTTTTCTTATTAGAAAGTCTAAGTTTGCTAAGACAATTAAGAATTTCTTTCTCTGAACGCAAGCATTTTTATATGTTTAACTAGTCTTTTACTGGTTTGAAAATTCTGCCTTGTTTTGCCTACCAGGGATTGGCAATCTTTTACTGCAAAGAGCCAGGGAGTAAATATTTTAGACTTCTCAGACAATATGGTCTGTTGCACTTGCACAGTCTCACCGTTGTAGCATGAAAGCAGTCAAGGCTGAGCGTGTCTGTGTACCAATACAATTTTACAAAAACAGAGAATGGGTCAGATCTGACCTATGCATCATGGTTTGCTGATATCTGACCTAAACTCTCTAGTTTTCATGCCAGATATGCAAGAGATTTAGAGCAAGGTTATGATAAGCTAGTTGCTTTTTAAAAAAATTATTTAATTTAATTTAATTTATTTATTTGCTGATTCATTATAATTTGACCAGAGAGGGACAGAGTGAGGGAGTGAGTGAGAGTGAGATAGAGACAGAGAGAGAGGGAGAGAGAGAGAAAGTGAGAAAGCAAGTTGCCGAGTCCGGGACTTGAACTGCGGTTGGCCATGTGGGAGTACTGCGCCCTTAACTACCACGTCACCTGCCTGCCTGCTAGTTGCTTTTATAAATACAAATTATTGCCATTAACTGCTTTAAAATACAGTTTAGTTTGTGATAGCTAGAAAACTCATGTGAGTATAACTCCATTGTATAATGAATTTTATTGTACTGATAAAATCATAAATTAATTATTTTAACCAGACTGTAGTGAAAGATTTTGTCCTACTGTGAACTAATGCTTCTAGTAGGTTGATTTAAGTCTCATAAATAGCTAAAAAGTCTCTTCCCTAGTCTCCTCCCCCTAAATTAAAAGCCCTGTCTCCTTTTAAATTGTAACAGCTAAATTTAAACTTTCAGTTAATACACTTGTGGTGTTTAATTGCAGATGTGGATGCCACTTGCAGTGACTTTAATTTTGGAACAGCTCTGCATATTGCAGCATATAACTTGTGTGCAGGTGCCATAAAATGCTTATTGGAGCATGGAGCAAATCCTGCATTTAGGGTAAGAGATTGACTGGAAAGTAGAAAATATTAAGAGAATTAAAAAGTCATGTATGATTTCTCGGTGAAGAGTTGACTCTGGATGTTGTTATTAATAGAAAAGCAGGCAAATACTTTATATTTTTGTGCCACATATAAAGAGTAATAATGATAATCTTTGTCTTGTGTAAATTTAAGGCATAATAGTGATAACTTTTCAACTTGCACTGATAAGTTCTACAAAGCCTCCATTTAGGAGAATAAAATCCAATTTAGTGTGCCATCATTTTCAAGTTTATGTATCTTTCATTTAGGCCTTTGATATATTTATGAAATGTTAGCTGTTAAACACAAATGCATATATTAAAGTTACATTTTTCTAGTAAATTATATTTCACATTCTTTTGGAAAGAGAATTAGCTCTAAATGCACATTCAAGAATAGGAATAAATATTTGGTAAATATTTAAAAAAAAGATTTTTCATGGTAATAATGTCACTAATTTCCGAAGTTTACACAGCATTAAATTTTATGATCTTCAAATCCTTTGGCATTTTATTGTCTTCTAGAAAATGATTCTCAGTTTTCATTTTCCTCATATTAATAACAATGACTTGCTCTGGGAAGAATTATTTTATTTATTTATCTATTAATACTTATTTATTTGAGAGAGAGAGAGAGAGACAGAAAAAGAAACATGCTCAACAGGGTCACACTCTGTCCTGGCCAGCCGGAATCACAGGAACATATTCACACTCCGGGTGGGTACAGGTCAACCTGTGAATTGAACCCTAATTTTCCAATGGCCTCCAGTGCTACAGAGCATTGCACTACTGCTGTGTCACCATAGTTGAGCCTCTGACTGTTAAAAATTGGGTCTATACCATCTCTTGAAGGATTGGGGGTGAGCTGAAGAGAACGTTTGAAAAAGCTTCCTCTTCTCTCCCCTTTTCTATTTCTCCTCTTTTTGCTACTTCTTTGCCGCGTTTCTTTCTGTTTAACTCCATTGGTTAGTCTCAAGCTTTTAATCTTCCTTCCTTTCTTTTAAAAATTTGCTGTAGGACACATGCAATCACTGGAAAGAGACAGAGAGAGAAAGAGGGAGAAGCAAAATGGGAAAGCTCCCCTCTCCGTGGGGGGGGAATGGTCATCCTGCAGTCCTTTCTCTTTCTTTTCTCCTTCCAGAACCTTGGCACGCATATACATGCACCTGGTGTGTTTCCAAGCCACTGGATCCAGGATTTGAACCGCATACTTGGCCATGTGGGATCCAGTCACCTTTACCACCATGCCATGGGCTGTTCCTTCCCTGAGACTGCGTTGCGTATTGGGCACTGGGAAAATATACCAATACAAAGTTAAAGTCCTTATCCTTACTGCTGAGACAGCCTGAATGGTGGGAGGGGGAGGTAAGCAGTCAGTCTCCCCTTGTGTGCTAAGGTCAGTGTGATGTGATGGGTGGGTGGGGCACAGAGTGCCATGGGGCCACAGCCTTGGGGGGAGTTTCCCAAGGCTTCTCAGAGGCGACATCTAAATTGAGTGCATTGAGTATAGGCAGGAATTAACGGATATAGGAGGGAGATGAGAAGACCATACTAGGCAGAAGGAGTAGCTGTAAGAAGGCCACTGAAGTTCCTTCTGGTTGCAATGTGAAGGCGGCATAGCTTTGCTTTGGCCAGCACAATTGTTGACAAAACGCCATGAGTGGAGATAGTATTTTGAAATTAGTAAGATGTAACGAGGTATTTCATTGAGCTAAATTATTAATTCATACCAGAAATAAACCAATAGATTGCCATAGTTTAAGAGCTAATACATACATGAACAGAAGAACAAAAACAATCAGCATGTGGGTTAGCAGAAGCTCTTGGACCATTCCCGTACCGCGATAACCACTATTTTAGAAGAAAGTGGAATTCCATAACTGATCGCAGTTAACCTTTCTTATTCTGGGAAGACATCATCATTGTTGTTACTTTGTTAGTATTACTGTTATTTAGTTTCCTTGACAATGATTTAGTTGCTTGATTTTATGGGAGTTAACAGAAGTGGCTCCAAAAAGTGAAGATGTAAAAGTCTAAAGTAAGATATCTATTGTAAATATATTTTAATATGTACATTTTAATTCCCTTCCCCCTTTCTTTAGAGAGTAAACACTAGTGCTATGTATATCTTTATTATATTTTGTATTTTTCCTTGAAATATGGGATTATATTATTCTATCACCATTCCAGAAATCCGATAATGTGTCTTCTTACTATATTTTTACTTAGAATCAAACGGACTTGAATTTTAAAACAAACAAATGTGAAGCATTTGCAAACTAAGTCTGTTTTAAAAGACTCATTTTTTTTATCCATATGGATTATTTGAAAGAGATTATCAACAGTGAAAAAGTGAGGGAAAAAAGTTTCTCAGTTAAAGGACTCTCTATTCCTCGTATTGAAAGAAGATAACAATCTGGACTCTTTCCTATTAAGTCTAAGGTTTTTGATTAGGGAACATAAGAAGAGAGATAAATCTGTTGGGGGAAGCTATCACGGGAGACAGATGAAGGCTCAGGGTCTAGTGGGCTTGGGTTAGGGTGCTGACGGCATGGGTTATAATGCCATCTCTGCTGGTGATCGTGTCAGTGACATAGGGCGAGTCACTATTATTGCCTAATTTTCCTAATTAGCAAACTGGAAATACTACTAGTATTTTGCTTTTTAATTGGTTATCATCTATGCATCTACAGTGAGAGCTCCTATCCGATTTGTTCATAGCTTTTTTTTTTCCTGATGCCAGGAGAAAGTGAGGGCTGGCCTAATGGTTAGATGGTTAAGAGATCCAGATTCTACATGGCCAACTGATCAGTTTGAGTCCCAGCCCCAGTGGCTTGAAAAATACTGGACACATGTGCATGTGTGTCCAAAATCCCAACAGGATGGGGAAATGGAGGAGGATGGATTGTGGCATGACCACACCTGCCCGGGATTGCTTTCTCCCTCTCCTGCTCCCCCTCTCTGTGTTTCTGTCTCTATGGTGAGCACTTGCACCTTCTGGCAAAAAAACCAAAACCAAAACCAAGTGTGATAATTTGTATGACAGGTGTTTTATTTCACGAACAGCATGCAGATGATAGTAGGCTTGTAACTGACCATCTTGCCACAGGATGTATCTCAGACATAGTCTTTCCTTTATAGTGAGTGAGGACACAACTGTTTCTTGACTATAGTCCAAATTTTAGAAGTATTAAAAACACATTTTTCTGGGTCCAGCTGTGGTGACACAGGCAGTAGGGGCACTGCTTGAGACCATGTAGGTTGGCTCAGGGTCCTCACCCTGGATCTGCCTCAGCCTGTGAGTGTGCTTGGGTGTGCCCATGATCTTGGCCTGGCAGCAAGGCTGGGGGAAGTTGGGGGAGGTGCGTCAAGGTGCTTGTTTCTGTTGTTTTCTGACATTTTAGGAAGCAAATTAATTTTTAAAATCCTGTAGTTTTCCATTTCTGAAATCTGAGTTACACCATGAGTGGGCAGGAGCCCAAGGTCACAGAGCAGAAGTGGTAGCTGTGGGGTAGTGGAATGATTAGGTCTGGGATAGGGAAGCCAGCTGTTCCTGTGATTTCTGTTCCCAAACTTGCCTCTTTTCTATCTGCGCAGTCAGGCATGGCCTCCACTCACGGCTTGGCACTTGCCCTTCCCAGTGGTAACCTGCCAGATAGCCTCTCGGAGCGCCCTCGTCTCTTTTGGATCTCCATGAAATGCCTGTTATCTGTGAGGCCATCCCTTGCCACTTTCAATAAATAGCTCCCCAGTGGCCTCTTCTGTCCCATGTTCTCTAACCCTCTTTCCTCTTTCCTGCTTTTCCTTTATGATATTCAATGCCATTTAACATACCATATGTTTTACATGTTTAATCATCTATAGTCTATCTCAGGCCAGAACATATGTATGGCAGGGCTTCTTTTTTCACTGTGAAATATTTAGCACTTAGAATGGTGTCGGGTAGGTATTAATGTTCAGAAATACTTGGGAATAAATAAAAGATGAATACTTTTGTCTTAAAAGTCTCCTTAAAATGCTTTTACATGACCATATGGAGTTCTTAGAAGATGTAAACTGAACGTTGTCTCTTACCTTCCCTTATAGAATGACAAAGGCCAGATCCCTGCTGATGTTGTTCCAGACCCTGTAGACATGCCATTAGAAATGGCCGACGCTGCGGCAACAGCCAAAGAAATCAAGCAGATGCTGTTAGATGCAGTGCCTCTGTCATGTAATATCACAAAGGCCATGCTTTCAAACTATGATCATGTGACTGGCAAGGCAATGCTTACGTCACTTGGCCTGAAGCTGGGAGATCGTGTTGTTATTGCAGGACAGAAGGTATAGTAAATAACTATGAATGATCCCTACACCATGTTCAGGTTCATTATGTCTGTGGCCTTTGTCCAAAGGTGCATACGGTATGGTCAGAATTTTCAGGTTTTATATAAATGGGTTCAATATATAAGTAGAAAGATACTTAACTGGAAGTGTGACACTTAGATGTAAGTTTTCTCTAAATTATCATTTATGAATATAAACTCTTTTGAATTTAATAATGAATATGTTTTTAAAAAAATTTGAATGGGAAAATAGTGGAGTATAGTAGGACTGGTGGACAGACTTAGAGGCATGGACTGAGGAATGATCTCTGCAGCAACCCTGAACCCAAGTGTTGCTTCTCCCACTGCCACTACTGTGTAGAAATTGAGCAAGGAGATCCTTGGCACCCACGGGTGTTTGTCTTTGAGATCTCACAAACTGGGAACTCATCCATATTATATAACCTGATAATAAAGATATATGCGGCAAAGAGGACAACTCTGGCCACCCCGTTGAAAATGTTCCTGACACTTGTTTTCCCCAAAATGTCAGTTTCCTTAGGACATTGACTTGTTACCAGTTTCTTTCTTTTCTTTTTTTAAATACTTGATATGGAGCACTTAAAAAGCTTGTTTTTTGTTCTTAATTTTAAGGTTAATCAGGAGCTAGTTATAGGGACTAGGACAGAGAATTTCCTCTTAGACGCTGAATTTCTCAGCATGGTTACATCTCAACATTTGGGTGTGCTTGTGGGAAGGGAGATGCAAGTTTCTCAAAAACTAGTGACATTTGGAGGTTTGATTTATTGAGGAAATTGCCTCACAAGGGAAACAAAACATAGTCACCAACTTACAAGAGAATGCATTCATAGAAAAAAAGCATCATGACTTTTCCAACAACCCACTAGCTTTTGTTATCCTGTCTGTGGAGCTAAAATATCAAGAAATTATTGATGCATAGATTATTTTTTAAATTTAGGATTGACATTTAGGTTCTATAGTATTCCTGTACTTGTCTGAAGATGAACTTGAGAGTTATTCTATTGTTTTTGGTTTATTTTTTAACTTTGGATAAAATAAAGCTAATACAAAAGTAGAAGCATATATAGTGAATGTGCATATAGCAATTAACTAGATTTAACTTTAACATCTGTTTTGTCTCCTTTCATGTATATTTTCTTTCATTTTGTTGCTTACTTGTTCATTGTCTCAAGAGTATCTTTTTTTTTTTTTTGGAGAGGTTTTTGCTATAGGGCGCGTGTGCTCGCCAGAAAGGCAGAGAGAGACAGAGAGATAGAAAGCGAGAAATCACCCCCTGGGGGGATGGCCACACGGCAATCCCTTCTCCTCCATTCTCCTCTCGGGATCTTGGGCACACACGCACATGTGCCTGGTGTGAGTTTAAGTCACCAGGTCCGGGACTCGAACCTCGGTCGACTACATGGGAGTCCAGCGATGTAGCCATTACACTAACTGCTGGTTCCTCAACAGTATCTCTTTAAAGAGAAAGGTTTAAAATTTTGATGAAGTCCAATTTATCAACTTTTCTTTTATGAATTGTGTGTTTAATATATCTAAGAAATACTGTTTTTTCTAGATGTTTATAGTTTATATTTTACATTTACTTTATATTTACTTTTGAGTTAATTTTTGTTGTGTAGAGTACTGAGCCTCATGTCCTTCCTTCCTGACAGCAATCTTACCATCGCCATCCTTTGCCTTAGCCTCCAGAGTAGGACTGTAGGCATATACCGCCATACCTAGCATTTAGGTTGGATGGGAATTAAACGTAGGTCTTCCATCTGATCCCTCCCAGCCTGGGGGCATAGCATCTTAGTGTTAGCAGCACATGCCACTGTGGCTTGGCTATCATTTTATTTTTAAATGTTTATCATTATCTATTTGTTCCAAACACCAGTTTTTGAAAAGACTATTTTTTTTTCTTCATTGAATTTCCTTATACCTTTTCCAAAAATCAACCTACCATATACACGTGGGTATATTTCTGGGTTCTATTTCACTCTCTTGATCTAATGACTACCCTTTCTTCAATACCATAATTATTAGTGTTGATTTAAGTAAGTTTTATAATCAAGTAGTGTTAAACCTTCATTTTTCTTTTTAATTGTTTTGACTATTCTAGTTACTTTGCCTTTCTATGTACATTTTTTTTTGAGAGTTTTTTCGCTATAGAGAGCTCGCCAGACAGACAGAGAGAGCCATAGAGACAGAAAGTGAGAAATCACCCCCCAGGGGGGATGGTCACACCACAATCCCTTTCTCCTCCATTCTCCTCTCGGGATCTTGGGCACGCACGCACACGCGCCCGGCGTGAGTTCTAAGCCACTGGGTCCGGGACGCGAACTGTGGTCGACTACGTGGGAATCCAGCGACATAGCCATTACACTAACTGCTGGTTCCCTCTATGTATATTTTGAAATCAGCTTGTAGATTTTTTTTTTTTTTGAGAGGTTTTCGCTATAGGGCGCGTGCGCTCAACAGACAGAGAGAGACAGAGAGACAGAAAGTGAGAAATCACCCCCCAGGGGAGATGGTCACGCCGCAATCCCTTCTCCTCCATTCTCCTCTCGGGATCTTGGGCACGCATGCACACGTGCCTGGCATGTGTTTTAAGCCACTGGGTCCGGGACGTGAACTGCGGTCAACTACGTGGGAGTCCAGCGACATAGCCATTACCCTAACTGCTGGTTCCCAGCTTGTAGATTTTTATAGACAAAAATATTGCTGGGATTTTTGAATCCAGTTGTGTTGAATCTCTATAAATCAGATTTAGGAGGATTTACACCTTAAAAGTGACTAGTCTTGGAATTCACAAATGCAACATATTTTTCTATTGATATCAATCTCTTATTGATATCATATATATATATATATAATTTATCTTTAGAGAGAGATTTTTGCTATAGGGCACATGTGCTTGCCAGAGAGACAGAAAGTGATAAATCACCTCCCATGGGAGATGGCCACACCACAGTCCTCATGGGATTTCGGGCATGCACACAAATGTGCCTGATGTGAGTTTTAAGCCTCCGGGTCTGGGACTTGGAACTGTGGTAGACTACATGGAAGCCCAGTGATGTAACCATTACACCATCTGCTGATCCCTGTATGGCTTGTTTATTAACTTAATCAGGGTTTTGTAGTTTTAAACATATAGATATTACTCATACTTTGTTAAATTTGTAGGTCAGTTTTTCATGATTTTGGATGCTATTGTAAATGGTAGCATTTTGAAATTTCATTTTCCAATCGTTCATTGTTAGTATATAGAAATAGTTTATTTTTGTATATTGACTATGTATTCTGTAACCTTGTTAAATTTACTGTTCTATTGACTTTTTTATTTATAGATTCTTTGAGGTATGCTGTGTAAACAATCACTTGTCTGCAAATAGAAACATTTTTCTTCCTTTTTTCCAGTCTATTTGACTTAGAGTTTTTAGAATGTACAATGGCATGAAAGGGGATGTGCATTCAACAGAAACCATACTTCAAGTACCCATACAGCCATTCTGGGTTTTGCTTTCAGTACAGTACTAAATAAATTACATGAGATACTCAACACTTGATTATAAAATAGGCTTTCTGTAAAGTGATTTTTGTCCAACTGTAGGCTAATGTATGTGTTCTGAGCTGTTTAAGGTAAGCTAGACTGAACAGTCAGGTCTATTAAATACATTTGAGAGTCATGATATTTTCAAGTTATGGTGGGTTTATAGGGACATAACCCCAATGTAAGTCAAGGAACATCTGTGTATACATTTTCCTTGTCTCAGGTCCCCAGTAAAATGATAAACAGGAAAGGTAAGAACTGACTCTCTTGCCTTATTCTCAGTCTCAAGGGTAGAACACTTAGTGTTTCATCATTAAATATAATTGTTAGCTGAAGCTTTTGAATAGGTGGTTTTTATTAGGTTGAGAATGTTCTCATTTATTTATAGTTTGTTAATAATTTTAAACAGTTGTTAACATTATGAAAAGATATTAAAATTTTCTGGTGGCTTTTTCTGCATCTGCCAAGATTAAGTCTTTTTCCCCCCCCCACTTTAGTAATGTTTGATGAATTACATTGATTGATTTTCAAATGTTGAACTAGCCTTGTATTCCCATGATATACCTCATTAGGTCATGATGTATTAGCCTTTCTGTATATTGGGGCATTTGACTTGCTATTATTTTGTTGAAGAGTCTTGTGTTTATTTATGTGAGATATTGGTGTATTTTGGCATGAAGGTAATGTTGGCTTTGCAAAATGAATTGGGAATCAGTCTCTCCACCTTTATATTCTAGAAGTGTTCAGATAGAATAGATATTAATTTTTTTTTGTTAAATTGTTTGGCAGAATTTACTGGTGAGACAGACTTTTTAAAGGTTTTTAACCTATAAATTCAATCCAGTCTGAACTCTGACAGTTTGTGTCTTTCAAGAAATTGGAACATTTTATCCTATTTGTCCAATTTATAGGCAGAGTTTTCATAGTATTTTCTTACTATCTTTTTAAATGACCAAGAGTCTGTTATCAGTCCCTCTTTCATTTGTGATGTTTGTAATATGTATCCTCTCTCTCTGTTTTTATTTTTTCTTGGTCTTCAGCTATAGGTTTATTAATAAGTATACTTCCAAAGAAGTTGCTTTTTAGTTTCACTGATGTTCTATTGCTTTTCTGTTCTCAATTTCTTGTCTTTTTTATTTCCTTCCTTTTGCTTGTTTTGGGTCTTTATTTTCAAGCCTCTGAAGGCTGAAGTTAGGTAATTGATCTGAGATCTTTTCTTCTTTTTTCTTTCTATTAAAAAATATTCAGAGGTCACACAGATATGGTTTATTACCTGTTGATGACGACGTGTATAGTATTCTCAACTGGATTGATCTGAGAAGTATTTCATGTTGGGTAAAGTCTTTTTGCAAGCAAAATGAGAAGTAATGATTGGCTGTTTAAAAAGTAATTGTAATAATAATGATAATGATGATCAGGAAAAATAATGAAAAGCTATTGGATTATGAAATGGGGATTTTAATGTCTCTGTATTGACTGATATGCATGGTATTCCTTCTGGAAAAAGAAATGTAATACACTGTAAAGTTATATGTGATTCAATGTAAACAAGATTATGATGATAATAAATAAATAAAATATTCAGAGGTCATGTGCTCACCAGAGAAAGCTAGAGAATGAGAGAGAGAGAGAGAGAGAGAGAGAGAGCGAGCGCGAGAGCGAGCAAGCAGCCCCTGTGGGACATGGTCATACTGCCATCCCTACTCCTCCATTTCTTCATCCTATTGGGATTTGGGCATACTCATGGGTGACACTCAGCATGTTTCTCAAGCTGCTGGGACTGGAATTTGAGCATGAGCTAGCCATGTAGGACATGGCTTCCTTAAGCACCAGACCATGGGCCTGGCCCAGATTTGAGACCTTTTCTTTTTTTAAAACACATTTATTTATTTATCTATCTCCTTGTTGTGGTTTTCAAACCACTAGGTCTGGGACTCAAACCACAGTCAGCTATGTGGGAATCCAGCGTCTTACCCAGCATACCACCACCTGGCCCAAGACCTTTTCTAATATAATAATTTAATGCTGTAAATTTTCCTCTAAGCACACTTTTTGCTGCATCTTAGAAATTTTGATATATTTTCATTTTTACTCAATTCAAAATATTTTCTGATTTCCCATATGGTCTTCTTCTCTTCTACTTATGGCTTATTTCAGAGTACATTGTTTTATTTCCAAATATTTGGAAATTTTCTTATATATTTCTATTAATGATTTATTTAATTCCATTATGTTTTAAGAGCACTTTTTTAAAAAAAATGCTTTTTATTTTTTTACATTTGCATTCTACTGTTTTGGGTGGTGGGCTTAATACATGCCAGGTCAAACAGGCGAATAGCTGCTTTTAGTTTTTCTAATATCCTTACTGATCGTCTTCCTACTCTGTTGCATTCAGGTCTCCAGCTGTGATGTGCAGTTGTGTGTTTCTTCTCTTGAACAGCTGGTTTTTCCATCATGCATTTTGAAGCTCAGTTGTTGGGTCCAGACACATTTAGGATGCTTACATTTTTCTTGTTGAATTGACTAGTTCATTGTTATCATTTAATGTTTCCTTTTTATCCTTGGTAGTATTTCTTTTTCTGAAGTTTGTTTTGATAGAATGAATTTTAAACTTTTTCATGGTAAAGTTCCAAGAGTAGGATTCTTAGAATTACTAATATTCTCAAAATTTACTTTGTATTTTCTTTAGGTTGGCACACTAAGATTTTGTGGAACAACTGAATTTGCGAGTGGGCAGTGGGCAGGCATCGAACTGGATGAGCCAGAAGGAAAAAACAATGGAAGCGTTGGGAAAGTCCAGTATTTTAAGTGTGCTCCCAAATATGGTAAGGTCAATGTTATTTAACTTAGTGGAAATTTATGTAAAATAGTTAAATTCTTTTTGTTTAAATACACCTTCCCCCCAGGGCTTATGTAATAAATGGGTAGGATGTGGATTTAGAGAGGACTTTTTAAAGTTAGGAGTTGATTTTGGCTTATTCATTCACACTTACTCATGAGAAGGATCTAAGAGACAGGTAGAAATTGAAGTTCTAGGAGAGTAGGGGACAACTGTAGGAGGAAAGTTCTTAAAAAATTAAATTGGGAAAGGAGTTCAGTGTAATGGTTAACCTTGCATTAGATCCGGCACAACTTACCACTTTTTAAGAAGAGAAGTTCTGGTGGGGCCAGCAGGTGGTGTAGAGGCTATGAAGCTGAACTCCCACATGGTTCACCGTGGTTTGAATCCCAGACGTGGCATCTTGAAACTTACACTGGGCATGTGTGCGTGCATGTCTAAAATCCTGAGAGGAGAATGGAGGAGAAGAGATTGCAGTGTGACCATCCCCCCTGGGGTGGTAATTTCTTGCTTTCTGTCTCTCTCTGTCTTTCGGTGAGTGCACACATCATATAGCAAAAACCTCTCAAACACACACACACACATACACACACACACACACAAAGAAGTGGTGGGAAAATAAGTAATTCTCTTTTGCCTGTTTCTATTTTCTCAGAAAATAAGCAAGTCCTGGATTGTAGGATTGTAGAAGAGGGAAGGGCAGCTGGAGGTTTGAGGAGAGGGAATGTGAATAGATCATAGATCAGGAAGTGTGGCAGACTTCCAGGCATGGCTGAGGGCACACTTGAGATTCCTGGTCATCGACTTAGCAGAAGACAGTGCTCAGGATCAGGTGTCATATTAAACACCCTGCGGGTACCAAGTACGTGGAGGGCTCAGCAGCAGCAGGGTTAGCTCTTTGCTAGAATGTACAATAGGGAAAAGTGGCGGTGGAGTTGAAGATGTATGCATGGGAGTAATTAAACAGTGCACTGTGAAATCTATGCTGGTTGGTCGGGAGGGATGAGGGCCTGATGAGAAAGACTGAGAAAGTGATTGGATCGTAGTTCCCGATGAGGAGAAGCTGGATGGGGGTACTTAAGTGAGTAATGGGAATAATAGGAAATAGTTGATGCTTTTGATAAAAATCGTGGAGGTATAGAGATTAGGATGAGCCTGGTTTGCTTAGCTGGGGCAGAGGGAAGGCTCACTGGGAGTGAAAAGCTCAAGGATCTGACAGCCAGGGTGTTAGGTGGCTCCTCGGTGGGCGTCAAAGTCTCCATGAGCAAAGACAGGAGGAGAGAAAGGCGGAGGGCCAACCAGCTACGAAAGTTCTTACTGAAGGAGTGGCTGTGGCTCCCCAAGGAAGAGATAGTGGATAGCAGAGTTGGTTTGATGGCCTGTGCCTCCAGTCAGTTCTGCCTTGCTCCCCTCCCCTCTTCCTTCCCTCCCTTCCCCTCCTCCCCCTTCCTCTCTACTTCCTCCCAGAGAGATCAATGTTCTGGAAATGGGCTATAATAGTGAAAACGAATAAAACAAGCACTTTACCCACTCCTGGCTAGTGTCAGGTGATGGCGTGGGATAAACTGCAGCTGCCACACGAGAGGACTGCAGGGAAGCAGCGTCTTCAGGAGAGAGCCAGGGTGCTGCTGTAGGAAAAGGTGGAGAAAGCAGAGACGAAGCAGGCTGTTACTGACGGGAGACCAGGAGCTGCACAGGGCCAGGAGAAGCGTTTGGAGGTGTGGGGAGGATCGGGCTATTGGGTCAGGTTTATGGCTTAAGAAAACCAGTGGATGGGAGTCTTAGGCATCTGGCTGTGACCAGTAAAAAGGAAATGTGGTGGATTGCCTTGATCTTTTTTTGGGGAAATTGTCTTTTCTTGGGATTGATCTCTTGGGTGCTGTTTGGTGGGGAGACTGATGATGTTCTCATCACTGAGATCTGAGCGTGAGGGCTGTGCTTACCTCCTGCTGTGAGCAGTATGGTGATTGGAAGAAGGCAACCCACCTGGAGCACAGCCAGCCCTGCAGATCTCCCTGAAATCCTGCTACGGTGGTATCAATGGCTGAGGAAGAGACCTTATTACCAAGGAAATACAGGCTCTGCAGGTCGTGAGGAACCTGAAAAATTAGGAAGTGAGTGAGGCCAGCTTTTTGATTCTGCTTATGAGCTGGTGTGATTCTCTTCTGACAGATATTTTCTTAAATTCCCCCGTCTCTCTTGGGCCAGCCAGGTGATGTGGTGGTTAAAGTGACTGGCTCCCATGTGGCTATGTTTGTGGTTCAAGTCCTTGACCTGGCAGTTTGGAAAATATGCTGGGCACGTGTGTGTATATGTCCCAGATCCTGAGGAGAAGGGATTTTGATCCTGTGGGGTGTGATTTCTCACTTTCCTCCTCTCTATCTGTCTCTTTCTCTGGAGAGTACACGCATCCCATAGCAAAATACCAACAGAAATTCCCTCCACTTCACACACACACAGCCCTACATACATACTACCCCTCATGCATACCCTGATACATCGATTTCAGTCAGCTTTTGTCACTTGCTGTGCCGTGAATATTTCCCCTGCAATGAAACATTTCTCTATCACATTATTTTCCATGATTGCACAGTATTTCATCCTGTAGCCTGCCGGGGTGGTATGGTATGATGCTGGTATGGTATGATGATGAAGTGTGTGGGCTTTGGAACCCGACTGGTTGGGTGTTAATCAGCTTCTCTCCCTGCCAAGCCATGTGACCTTCTTCCTCTTCTTGTGCCTCAGTTTGTCCTCTGTAAGAGGGAGATCTCAAGGATTCATGTGAGCAGCACATGTGTTGGTAACTGTATAAAGTACCTGGACCAGTGCTTAATTCCCTGTAAGCACTCTACAGATGTTAGCTACTAGTGGGCTATTACGAATAAACCACAATTACTAGCTAACCTTTGTCACGTACTTATGATGGAACCTCATTTTATTGGACTATATTTAAAAATTATTTTGTTTAACTTTTTACATTTTATTTATTTATTTTAATTTGAGCAGAGAGGGACAGAGTGAGAGAGAGAGGGAAAGTGAGAAAGCAAGCCACCAGGTCTAGGACTCAAACAGTAATTGGCCATGTGGGAGTCCAGCACCCTTAACCACCATGCCACCTGCTGACCCCTTATTGGACTATTGAAATGATTTGGTTTGTAAAAATGCTTATTGTATAAAATCTGAAAATATTAAAAAGGAGAAAGGAAAATGATCACTTGTACAGTTTTTCTGTTTTTTCTTTTTTTTCCACAAGATTGTACTTACATGTAGTTATCTACTTTTTTTGTTGTCATTATTGTTAGTTTGCTGTAGGGCATGTGTACTAGAGAGAGAGAGAGAGAGAGAGAGAGAGAGAGAGAGAGAGAGAGAAATCACCTCTTAGGAGGATGGCCATGCCACAATCCCTCCTTCTTCCTTCTCTTGCGATTTTGGGCATGCACATGCATGTACCTGGCGTATTTTTCAAGTTGCTGAGTCCAGGATTCGAACTGCCGAGTTGGCCATGTGGCATCCAGCATCCTTAACTTCTGTGCCACCTGCTGACCCTCTCCTCTGTGTTTATAACTTGATACTGTATTAAGACTTCCCAAAATATTTAAATATTGTTTAAAAATGTGACTTTTTAGTGACTCTATTTTCTTTAATTTTTCTATTTTGGTGCATAAAAATTTCTGTTTGAATTGTACTTCTTTGATTATGGGGAAGTAGAACATTTAAAGTTTTTTTTTTTTTGGATAGAGTTTTTTTTGTGATAGGGCGCGTGCGCTCGCCAGAGAGACAGAGAGAGACAGAGAGACAGAAAGCAAGAAATCACCCCCCAGGGGGGATGGCACACCGCAATCCCTTCTCCTCCATTCTCCTCTCAGGATCTTGGGCATGCACGCACACGCGCCCGGCGCGACTTTTAAGCCACTGGGTCCGGGCCATGAACCGCGGTCGACTACGTGGGAATCCAGCGACATAGCCATTATGCTAACTGCTGGTCCCTAAAGTGTTTTGTTGTAGTATGTGTATTTTGGTGTTATTTTGGTAATCTCCTGTTCATATTATTTGCCCATTAAAAAATTGAGATATTAATGTTCTTATTAAGGAGTTTGAAAAAATACATAATTAAGATATTAAGTCTTTATATTTATTACAGATATTTTGCCCAGTTTGTCATTTGCCTTTGAGCAAAGTTTTTAGAGTACATCTTTCATAGTTAAAAGACTTTCCCTTATAAATTCTTACATTGCTTTTAAGCTTTGATAGATCTTCCTAATTCAAGGGTTAGTTATAAATTATATATTTTATTCCTTTGGATGTTTTCATTTTTCATGCTTAATTATTGAACCTATTTGGGATTTATTTAGTTAGTGGTGTGAGGTTAAGAATTTAATATTAATTTTTCTCTGATAGCTAAATTTGGCAACTGTCAAGCAGACTAAGGGCAGGATCAAAAACCTTTAGCAACACGCAGGGCATACATAAATCAGATTTATGGAAAATACTTAAATTATCAACAGACTGGCTGTGGATTCTCAGATTCTCATCATCCCAAGGGCATGCTTGAGTGGGACAAAGGTACTTCTGTCCTTCCCCCACCCCCATCATTGTCATTTCCTAAATGCAAGTTGGGGGGCAAGGTGTTGGGTTATGTAAAAATAGGAGCCATCCTTCCTGAGCCACCTTACTTAAGGTGGAAAGCAGCTGGCAGTGGGGAATACCTTGATCTCCAGACTCAATGAGTTTGTCTCTTCTCAACAATGATTTTCTCTCTCTCTAAATCTGTTGTTTTCCCTTTGGGTTCCTTTTGGATTCCTTTATTATAAATTAAGTTCTTATACAAGCTATGATCTGTTTCAGAATTGTTTTGTTCCATTGGTCTTTTAATTCTACCCCATATTAGATTTTTTTTTTTAGATTGTAGAAATTTTATAATACATTTTAATATTGATGGTCATACTGTTTTTATGTCTTTTGATACTTTCCAAAGTGAATTTATATATGTGTTGGGTCATCATTTGTATAGCACATTCAAGTTGTGGGATCTAGGGCTTGAACTGCAGTTGGCCATATGGAGAATCCATCGCTTTAGCTACTATGCCACCTGTTAGCCCCAGGGAAATAATTCTTATTCCAAATGCTCTCATAAGTGTTTTTAACGTTCACTCTT